AAACTATTTCAGTTTATTAATAAATTTTTACTTCTTTGCAGGGGAAATCTGTGCCCTGAAAAGTCGCATGGACTTAAAGTAGATATAATCATAGTAATTTTTCAAGGTCTTCTGATCTTCCAGTGAACCTAAGACAAAGTTGTTTCCCTCAGAAGTATCAGTGTCAAGATAGTGAGTTCTCAGCTTGCAGAGGAAGCTGGGAGCTTGCCTTACATCTGGATCATACCACCGCCTGGGTGTACAGACAGAGGGAGATGCATTTCTCTGTGAACAAGCAGTTTTCCTGAATTACTCTGACACTAAGGCAGTTCATAGATGCCCAGTAGTTAGGTCATTAGGGAGTCTCTTTACAGATATCTTCCCAAGATATTAAAGGTAAGGCTGCAGTTAGTGTAGTCTCATTCTAGATAATACACATTGCCAAAGGAAAAAAAGAACTCTGGAAGGTGTTCACATGTCCAGACAGAAACTGCACAGTGCTGAAGTGCAGCTGAGTAGTCCCAATACACTTGAGTCACAAGATGCCCAGCTCTCATCACCCCACAACAGCTCCTCTCCTCTTACCTGCCTTAACAGAAGGACTGATGGCAGACTGCAGCGTGTGGCAGTGGAGAGAGGTTTGCTGTATGTCTGCTGCAGTCCTCCATGTGTTCCTTCTGTCCATCTTCAGCATGAATCTTTCATGTTGATCCCAAAAGTGGAAAAGCAGTCCTGTCCTGTGAAATACTGTATTAACCTTGGATGCATGGTAGTCATGCACTCTGTGTCCACAGTGAAAATGAGAAGGTGCTGTAAGAACAAATATAAAATGCTGAACCAAGGCACGTGATACATAATCTGCTTTCACAACTCATTTAGTTGGCTTTGGCCTTAACTTGAAGCTGGCAGGTTCCAGTCCTGTGCACTCCAATAATGCTGCCCTTCAGCATCACGCAAATTCCAGTAAGGGTATCTGCAGCTAGTGCTGCTTGTGCAAAGCTGCTACAGGCGGTACGAAACGTCTTTTCTAAATCAGCGTGGTCTCTGCACAGGCGATGCCCTTACCAGTGTTGCAGGGACGTCAGCCATGTTCTGTTAGGGTGTGCATTTCTCTGGACACAGGGGAGTGTTTCTAGTAGACAAATGCTGTTCCCTGCAGCCCACTGGGGCCTTAGGTTTTTCGTAGATGTTAACGCTTGTTTTGCTAACGACCTGGCTGTGCCATGGCCATCCTCTGCAACTCATGTCCGTACCACCAAAACAAAGAATCCGTTCCTGTTCTGTAAGGCAGTTTTCATCAGCAGTTCCCCAAGTGCTTTGTTAGGACTAGGAATTAGTAAAAAAGCAATGGGGTTTTGAGTGTTTCTGGGGAAGGTTCCTGGGCTGCTTCATGGCCCATGCATTCTCAGCTGCCAGGTTGTTCCCCTGCTTCTCCCGAATGTCTGTAGATTTGCCCTTTCAGACATACTGTTTATTCTTAACCCTTGAGACAAGCAATTATTTGCACTGCTGAGTGTGGTCTCTGGCAGTGCTTTCGAGGGGGATCCAGGGAGGTGCCTTGCTTTTACCCTGCAGCTCTTGCTAGCAGCTAGCTCTTGAGCTAGATTTGGTTGATTTGGGGAGTTTCCCTTTAGTCCAGCACCCGTGCATGTTAACTGAGGAGGTTGCAGGGCTGTGACTCCGGTGTCGTGGGTCTGATGAGGCTCTGTTAAGGATTGCAGTAGAGCTAACGGTTGCCGTGTCTGAGCCAGACACTTCCCCTGCCATGCGATGCAGCTGGGGTGAGCCTGGCCCTCGCATGGCAGGGGAGCGTAGGGATCCCAGGGGACCCCTGGCCAGCCTGGGCTGGGTGCTGCCCTGCTTGGGGTGGCCTGGAGACACCCCCCCCCCCCCGCCCCCAAGGGTGGGTTCTCCAGCAACCTCAGCCCTCCACATTGCAGCAGGAGCACAGCAGGTCCAGGGCTGTGCGTGGGTACTGGAGGTGCTGGGCCCTGCCAGGCCTCCGCTCTGGGCTGCTGCGTTGGTTTGGCCGTTTGCAGGGGCCTGTGGCCCCCACCAGAGCAGGAGCTCCAAGTGCTGCCTTTGGGGGGCTCAGAGGGGCTCTGCCCACCTCAGGGGCTTGGCTGGTCCTTCAGCCACTGCTGGTAATGCTCAGTGTCCCCAGTGCCTGCTCTGTTTTGTGTGTGGGGAGATGGTTGCTTAGGCCCACGGAAACACCCAGACCTTACGGGGCTGTGTGCCTGGCTGATTTCACAGCCTCTTTGCTGGTGTGCTTTTGTTTGCTTCTGCATAATTAGGGAGATCGGAACTGGCTGAAGGGGGGGAGCCACTCGTGGGGATGTGGCTTCAATTAAAACAAACAAACAAACAAAAAGTCATTGTGTTTGTTCCCACTGGAAGACACAAACCAAACCGGGGCAATTGCCTGAAAACTAAGATTAAAGTTTTCAGCAAAGCCTGTCAGGAATTCATTCAGAGATGCACTGTCTGACTTTAGCCTTCATCATGCTACTAATTCCTTTATTCTTGATTCCAGAGAATTTGAAATTGTTATGGCTGTTTATAAGGATTATGCTTTTTAATTTATTCTGTGATGGACATTTGTGTGTATGTGTGTGTATATATAATATGTATACAAGTTCACAGTGTCTTGTAACTGGGATGGAAAAAATTAATCCTAAACAAGCTGTTGATTAAACTACAGAGGATGGAGTTCAAAGGGATTAGAAAAAAGTTTGGAAGTGACTAAGGGGAACACTTAAGGACTTCATTTAGCTTTTAATTTCTCTAAATTGCTGATGTGTTTTCTCAGGAAGAAAGCAATGCAGTTATAAGAGCTTTATCTAAAACTGCCCTCCCACACCCCCAGCTGATAAAGACTATCTGGATTTGTGTGTTTCCTAGGGAGCAAGATTAGGAAAAGAGTAAAATATCAGGATTTCACTCAGAAAAGACAATTCTTGTGCTGTAAATGTACCTTCAGAGCTAAATGCTTCCTTACTATACAAGTTTAAATGGGATGGTATCTGTTCTGCAGAATGGAGAACCCAAAGCAGTGCAGTCACTGCAGGGCTGACTAGTGTTAGATAAA